TGGCCTTGGACAAACCAGAGCACTACTGGCCCCACCAGTCCTTTGCTGGCAGCTCTTTCACTGCCATTTCCTGCTGGCTCCTCCACTGTTTTTCTCATGTTTCTTTAGCAACATCCCATGTCTCTTCTTCTCCCCCCCTTGCTCTTTTGCTTTAAAATATACATTTAAGATGGGGGATTTTTCCATGCCCTTTCTCTGTAATTTATCCCATGTGTGTATATGACTCTTCCCATAAAAAGCTTTTGCCCAAGTCTGTCTTTGGTTTTCATGTTTTGGCTTTATTTTTAATAATTTTTGTTGTCATGGTCTTTTTCTCTGCTGCTTTCAAACCCAGGCCTGTATAACCCTTCCAGCCTTCTTGACCCCCACAAGTACAAACATCGGTTCTCTCTCCATATGCTGTCATTCCTTCTCCATCAAGGAAGCAAGAAAACCAGGTTTGTGGTCGGTATTTGTTAACAGAACAAAACAAGTAGGTTAAAATTCCAGTGGGCTTGTTTTTGATCTGGTAAAAAGAAGGGGTAAGGGCAGGACTGAGAGCTGAGGACACACATTCAGGCTCCCACCTGAGCTTAGTGGGACACCTGTTCCTCCACAGGTATGGGGAGGGGAAAGGCAGCAAATCTAGACTCAGTAAAGGGCAGTTTCATCCATTTCAAAAGAGTCACACCCACTCCAAATTAACACCCCTGTTTTAATTTACCTCCATACCTCCTGTTAGACTAATTTATCTTTCAAGTCATATTACAAAATGAAAGCTTTGCCAGGGGTTAAGGGTGTTGGACCAAGCTCACAGGCTTTCCCTGCTTCACATAAGTTAGATTTCCTGCAAAGTAAGAAGAGACAATTTCTGCTCCTGATTTGTGACAAGGCTGTATAGTGGATCCACACTTGAGCCCAGAATAAGAGCCTTTAATACTGTCTCAAGAAAAACAATTGTCCATATGCCCAGCTTTCCACTGTAGCAAAGTAGATCTATTGTGTTAGAAGGATGCATGGGCTTAACACTGCCTTCAGAAAGCTTAAAAAAGCAAAGAGAATTGTTGACAGTGGGCAGGAGCTGGGGCAGTCATTGGTGTCGTTGTAGAACAGCTGCAGCAATTTTTTGGACATCCCACCTCAGGAAGGCTTGACTACTGGACCTTTCCCATCTCCACATTTAGGAGTTGGGGGTTTCTGAGTAAGGAGCATCAGAAAGATTCACTGAGAGAACTAAGCTGCTGCTACAGGACCACTAGATTCTCCTTTCCAATAGAATATGCCAGGATATGCAGATGAAAAGCTCTCATTTGGAAAGGATGAGTCTGAACTCATTTGGATCTGACTCATGCAAATGACCAAATATGTTTGTTGGCTATAAATCTAATAGCAGAAAACATTTCTAAGGGAAGATGAACCACTTGGACCTGAGACATCACCTTCCATGCCATATTTTATGCTATATTGTTGCTTTTTTTTGTTGGTTTTGTTTGGATTTTTTAAAATAAAACAGCACCTCAGATAAATTAGGGTGATTATCAGACAGAATTCCGCTAGAAATGCGTACCTTTGGGAACTGGGATAATACACCCGATGGAAAAAAACTGCTCACTCTTGTTTATTCTGACATGTCCCCTTGACAGCTCTTTACTTTGTCCCGGAAGTGACAGTGGCCAATCACCCCCTCAAGACATTAATTAATTTATTGGCATTTATCATAGATGTCCTCTCCAGGCTGTAGAATTAGGGAAGGTTCAAAGAACAAGCTCAGTTAGTGCTTGCATAATTGGGATGGCAAGCCATCCCATACTTTGGACCACATTTGTCACCCTTCCCTGAATGTTTTCCATTTCCACATGCCTTTTCCAAGCTGAGAAGAGCAAAACTGCTCATGGATGTGGGCATACCACAGATTTGTACAGGGGCAGGGTGAACATTGCTGATTTCTGACAAGATTTCATTTGTAAAATGAGTCGAGGTCTTTAGCCCCTGCTGACCCCTGTTCCTGTATTACAGCCCACAGATGTTTCTCCATGACAGTGGTGAGCGCTTAGCTCATTGTTTTCCATGGGAGGCTTTTTCCCATATGCATCACTCTGTGTTTATGCACCGTGACACTAATAATGTGCCCATGCTGCCCGTTCCCACTGAGCTGCCCTTCAGCTCACTCGTACACTGTTGTTCAGAGCCCAGTGCTCCTGCACAGCTCCCTTTCCTTCTGACGACAGAGCACAGAGAGAGCTGCAGCCTCAGGGGCTGCCTTTCATCCAGGTACCAAGCCAGAGGCAGGGAGGCAGCACGCCCAGCCCAGGGGTTACACTGGGGATAACTATCAAGCACAGACAGAACCTCGGGTTCACACTCCCCCTTACCTCACACTTGGCACATGCCTCTGCTCCTCACAACCCAGCCAGAATAAGCCACTTCTGACCAGAGCCACTTCTGACCACTTCTGACCAGGCAACTGCCTGCTCCTGAACTTTTCTTTCTGACAGATTCTCTCAGAAACAAATGGCCATGGCTACAAACCTTACATTTCCACCTTTATCCTCTTACTCAGCCTACCCGAGTCATCAGTTTACTTAAATCATTTTTATTACACATAAGCAATTTTTCTTGCAATATGTACCTCTTGTTGTCTCTTTAGGTCAAATGGAAAATCCATGAAAATCAGGCTGACCAGCTCCTGGTAGTGTCCTACAACCGTTATTCAGCACCACTCAACTGCTGCACTATCCTTAAACACATAAGCACCCCAGGACCTGTGCCTCCACTGGAAAGAGGGAGCTGTTTTTCCTTCCCCTGCTCCGAAGTGTTGTGGCTGGGGGACATCTCTGGCCACATGCAGATAGTCAGGCTTGTATAGAGAAACCAGAATTACTAGACACATGGCAAATCCAATAAGTTTAAAAAGACTTTTCATGGCTAGGCATGCCAAAAAGAGATGCTGAGATAGGACATGAAGTATTTGGGGGTGGTTTTAATTTGTGTCATAGGCACATGTTTTATTTGCGTGTAGAGTGACTACAGTTAATTTTTACTGTGCACATGAATATTAATTACTTGGTACAAGATATATTTTCTTATGAATGTAAAACATGACTAATGAAAGAAAACCCATATATTGTAAGATATTTCATCTGTATTGTTTCAGAATGAAGCTGATAGAAGCCAAACAGAACACAAATATGTATTAAATTAAATCACCCCTATCAATCCCTCCCCCTATACTCATGAAGTCATAAAGTGATTTGGTGGGGAAATGTAAGCATGGAAAATCAGTTTATTGATAAACTGCAGGGTAAAAAAAAAAAAAAAAAAAAAAAAAAAAAAAGCAGTGGAAAGCAGTGGCAAAAAGCAAAAGCGCCTTTTTAAAGTTATTATGATACCAAATGCAAGGTCAGAGTAGAAAAGTGTGTAGGTTAAATTATGCAGATTTCAAAATGTTTCAGACCATGTCAGCAAGAAAGCAGAAGAGTTTAGAAACAAGTTCCCAGAGAGGGCACAGAAACAATGACTCAAAAAGGAAGCTTGGGAAATGTGGGGATATGCTCAGTAATTACTTCTTCGTTTGTTTTGCTTCATTCAAAACAATTCAATAAGGGAACATGAAACACAAAAATTACAGTAAATTAGCTTAGCCCAGAGTATGTTCATTATTTATGAACACCTACTACCTCTGCAAAATAAAACCAACAGATTCCATGCAGACACATGGAATTTCTCTGGTGAAATACATGAAGATGCATCTTAAAATCTGTGAGCAAAAGGGAGAGGAAATAATGGGGCTTCTTAAGCAGTAGCCTGACTCACATTAAAATCAAGGAATTTTGACTTCAAAGGGAGACGGATGGAGAACAGCAGATTAGAAGGAGCTGCAAACAATGTTCTCCTTCAGCCTCTCCAAATAAATTCCTCCAGCCCAAGGCATACATTTCTTTGTATAAAGCAAGTGTTTTGGCATTAAAGATGGAGCAGAGCCCTGCAGAAGTTGTCCCAGGTAGTAAGTGTCAATGCAAATTGTGAGGAACATGAAGGAAAAGACTAGGAGGAAAATGAAGATCACCAAGATAAAATTTTCCATCATAAAGGTGGGGTGGGGGCAAGCAGCCAAATTCCACAGCAGGAACCTCACGGCTGGGTGCGCAGGTGCCATTATAAAACAGAGGTGCTGTGGAAGTGACATCTCAAAGTGTGAAAAAAAAGGGATTTTATGAAACAGAGTAGAGAGATTACAGGGAGCAGTGGAGTCTGTATTCCTGAAGCACTAGGCAGGAATTGGCCCAGTCAACTCTTCTCTACTGTGGGGTTGAGGGTAAGAGCAGTGGCAAAGTACAAACCAATCCTAGAACACAACTCTTGGCAGAAATACTCTTGGAACAGTGCAGGTTAAACAGCAATAGTGGTGGCCTTGCTTCAGCCAAGCCAGGGAACCAAATGAAAATACCTTTTCTAGTTTATTTTCCACCTCCATCCCCATTTCCCCCCAAACAGTAGTAGGAGGATCTTGCCACCCACATTTGCACTGTCCTTAGGAATGTGTGTGACTATTTTAGGACAATTTGGAAACCCTTGGGAACATTCCTAATTAATAAACATACTTTCTATTTTCTTTTCCTGTATTCCCATGTGGATTTCCATCATCTTCCTTTGCCAGCTATTGTGTACAGAGCCATTCATGATCCAATAGCAAGGCAATCCCTGGAACTCAGGGTATCCTAACCTGGCATTACCATTCAAGGGGGTGGAACTATTCTTCAAAACTGAAGAGCACTTGCCTCTCCAGTCAGCTCTAGGCCTGCTGGCACAGACCAGCTCTTTGGTAGGCAGAAATATAAGAACTTCAAAAGATTCTGCCCTGAAAATTCTCCAGTCTGTTGTCTGTACAGGGGACAAGGACAAGGAGGAACAAGTTCACATGAGTCTCTTGCTGTTTACTAAAAATACTGCCAACATGATACTTCTGATAATTTTGTTAGCAGTACTCATTTAGAAAAAGGAAGTACAGATGGGTGAGGAGATATAAAAAGACTGTTTTTCTTCTCCTTGTGACATGTTGTGTAACTGCAACCCTGGAGAGAGCTGCCAGTGAGGAAAAGCATCAGGATCAGCTCTGCTTTGCCCAGGTGGGTATTCAGGGAGAAAACAATGCTGCTCACTTCAATATCCCTCTCTCCTGCCATCCTCTCTGAGTCTAGGATGAAGTTATAATTTATATATTTCTTTATTTATTATAATTTATTATAATGTATTTGTTATCATTTATTTTTCCTGTCTGTGGATCGTCATCCTACCCAATCAGTTAACAGATTACACTCACTGAGTAGTCTTCTGTCAGATATCAAAACTATTTTGCCCATCATGATCTTGTGCTGAATGTAAATTTAAAAGATAGGGCATAAGTACCTCAGGTGATCTGATTTTGTTTTGCTCCAGAGTTAATGTTTATACTTTCCCCTGCAAAAGTCAGAAGGCTTTTGAGATATTCAAACCCAACGGGATGAGGCTCTGCACAAGCTGCTTGAGCTGACCCTGCTCTGATATCCTCAGCTGGGAGCAGGCAATCTTCCACTGTAAGCAAAGAGCAGGCTCAAGACCCTCCGATGAAATTGGACAGGCACAAATCTATGGGGCCTGATGACATGCATCCCAGGGTCCCAGGGAGCTGGCTGATACTTGATCCAAGTCACTCTCCATCATTGAAAAGGCATGGCAGTCAGGCAAAGTCCCTGGTGACTGAAGTTCTTTCCCCATAGGCTGGTGGGACACTGAACAAGTTCCCCAGGAACAGTCTTAGCATCAACCCTGTCTTAGTTCAGCAAGTGTTTGGACAATGGTCTCAGACACAGGGTGGTATTGTTGGTGTGTCCTGTGCAGAGCCAGGGGTTGGACTCAATGGTCTATGTGAGTCCCTTCCAATTTAACATATTCTGTTGATTCTATGAATGGAAAAAGGGAAACATCACTGCTATTTTCAGAAAGGGCAGAAAGGAAGACCTGGGGAGCTACAGAACCTGACCTCTGTGCCTGGGAAGTCATGGGGCAGAACCACAGTAAGGGCAAGCTGTGCCTGCACTGCTCAAGTCCAGCTGTGTAATCTCAGTGGACTTCTCCTTAGGCCTAAGGCTTACTGCGGCCTATGACACAGTCCCACATGGCATCCTGGATCTCCAAACTGGAGAGACATGGATTTGAAGGTTGGATCATTCAGTGGATAAGGGATTGGCTGGAGGGACACAGCCACAGACCTGTGGTCAAGGGCTCTATGCACAGGTGGACACTGGTGGCACGTGGTGCCTTTCAGGGCTCTGGCTCAAGACAGGTGCTCTTCAATATTTCATCAATGACACAGACAGTGCAACTGCACCCTCAGCTTCTAACTGGGCTGCTTCCCCTCTCCTCAAATGTGTAAGCAAAAAATACCCCAACAACCAACAATAACAACAACAATGGCAACCAAAAAAAATTCCACAATCTGTACACCAAAGAGACTTATTGAAGGGGTTTAAGTAAAGTAAGTGGTGTTTGGTAGGCCATTTAGAATTCGTACAAGAAAGCTGTCAAACTGTGTGATGCACTCAGGATTTGTGTGGATTTTAGGCCTTTCTAATGATGCTATCAGGATAAATATGCTGTGTCACCCACACATCTCCACTATATTTATCCTGAAAACACTCCTGTGAGGCAGGGCAGTCCTGTTTACCCATTAACTCATGGGGAACAGAAACTCAGATGTCCAAGTGACTTATCCAGGATCACCCAGTAACTCTCCAGATCCAATGATCTTCTAACTATGCCTTCCTTCCTCTTGCCTACACAAGAGATTTGTGCCTCTCCTCTCCACTGCAGCTGCATTAGGGCAACTTTGGAAGGCAGACAAGCAGAGGAGTCCCTGTCATGTAACCCTTCAAGCAACAGGACCTCAGTGACTCTTCCAGTGGAAATTCCCAGTATGAATAATGACTCCATATCAACCAGTTCATACTGAACTGTATACCAGCCCTTTTATCTCCCTTCATCTCGTTCAAGTTTTACTATCCTGTTCTACAAGTAGGTGATAACAGGGGCAAAGTACAGTGCTGTGTGTCACCGAAGCCTGAACAGAGGTAACTGGTCTGAGAACTTGTGCCTTACCAAAATGTTCTGCTGGGGGAGAGAGGGAGAGAAGAATATTGGCAGTAAATTAAGGGCAGGGAGTCCTCCATCAACTGAGTCAAATAATTTGAAGGTGCCTTACTCCACTTTGGAAGCTCTCAGGCATCACCACTGAAGTGATCCACCCTTGGGAGAGGAGTTGAAGAAGGCAAGAAAAGCTCAGTGGAGGCATTTAATGGGTTGCCATACACATGGCCTAAAGGTCCAAGTGCCCTGGGGATCTCTCAAGGCTTTCTGTGTGTCAAGCGGTGACACAGCATCATCAGTATTTCTGTGGTCCTTCCGTGATTCCTGAGGCTACAGGTGTGCTCATGGAAACTGAGCTTCAGTCAGCATCTAATGCAGCCTGTTCTCAATACAGGACAGAGAAGGGATGGGTCAGCAAAGGAGGATTTTTTTCAATAACAGAAAAATTTGTAGTTTGACAGGCTTGTAGTAAACATAAATTATTAAGCAGGTCATGTCTCAGATCCTGAAAATTTACAGCAGCAGCTACTAAAGAGTAATGGTGGGGATTCCCTGAGTATGCTGAACTGGAGCTATAATTAGACCATTTAGATATTATCTTCCTAACAGACAAAATTGCCCAGCTCCACAATGCCTGCTGCTTCTGCTTATTCTGGAAGTTCCCCCACATATTTATTTACACTAAAGGAAATATCTGAGCTCTGTTTTCTTGGCTGCAGCAAAAATTCCCCTTACGTCATGGGATCCCTACCCCAAGTACCCCAGGTAGCTCAGGATTAGCCTTCCAGACACCGGGAATGAGAAAATACCCAGTTATTTACAGTGTTCTCCTCTTACCTTCCCCCTCTGCTTCCATCCCTAAGGGAGTTGCTCCCTTTTGAGTGATGAGCTGTGAACAATACAACACACATTACAAATTGTGTGTGTAGAGAGGATGAGTAATTGTTTTGAAAATAAGAAATACTACATAACCACTCCCTTCATGGCTACCAAGAATTGCCTTCAACTCCCAAACAAACTGCCAATTACTGCATTTACCCATAACATGGATGGACCAGACTTTCCTCCCAGGTGCTTTGCCATCCCACTCTCAGTGAAACTGGGGCAATCTGTTTTAGGACAGCTCTGAAAAATCTCCTGCATGTAACAGCCTGAACCCACTTCCAAACAAAATTTGTTTTGTATGGTATTTATGCATGCCTGTCAGCTAAACTCCCAGCACGTTATACCATCTGCCAGCAGAGAAAAAATAGATGTCCATTTTGATCTGATTTTCATACTAATGAGAAGTATTGGACCCAGGAGCTTCAATATCATTGCCTTGTAAAGTAAAAATGTCAAAATTATTTAAAGTGGCTGTTAATTAACACCCTGCATCCCTTCTAATCTCACCACAGTAACATGAAAGGAGACTTTACCCCACATCCCTGGATAGAAATGCAAGATGAAGTCGTGCAGATTGCTTCAGGCCATTCTCACCTAACTTGCAGCCCATTTCCACTGCAGGCAGCAGGGTCTGTATCTTCTTAGCAAGCTCACTCCTTTCAGAGTTGGGAAAATAGAAGGAAAGAAAGAAATACCTTGTTTGAGAGCTGATGACAGGGGAATTTGAATTCTTTTGTCTTGCTGTTGTCAAAACCTTTTGTCTTGCTGTTGTCAAAAAATGAGTGTTTGCAGAGACTTACTCTACAAAGTAAACCTTGAGCTCATTGCAGGATGAGAAGCCTAAAATTAGGTTTATTCCTACATCATTGTTACCCTTCCTGAGGGTGTAATTTTTTACTTTTGCAGGACAGAGGCAACCTGGGCTGAGAAAGCCAGGAAGGGAAGAGCATGGGCAGTGCAAATAGTTGTAACAAAAAATCAGGATATTCCTACCATGGAGCAATTCCTGGGTGAATCACTTATGGACAAGTTGAGATTTCAGGTCTGACAGATATTTGCAGTGGAACTTTAAGAGGAAGGGTATGCCCAGCTGGGCAGAGAAGGAACCTGGGAGCTGCTGCTTTGAGGAAGAAGTATTATTTTGAGCTTTCCTCTGTAGTATGAGACAAAAAAAAGAAAAAAGCCCAGAGAAAAGTGGGCCCCCTCTTGACTCTCCCACAGTCTGGCCAGAGCAGCTCATGGCTGTAGCATCACTCTCTGTCTGTTCTTTTGGTTGCCCCGACCTCTTGGTGATAGTTACAAACCTTAGGGGAATTTTCTCCTCATTTGACATCTTCTGCCCCCTAACAAACACCTCCCAAGGAGCTTCCCAAGGTGTCTGCAGGAGTAGACATTACTTACACCTTACCTGTGGATGGCAGGAGTAACTTTAAACCTTTTTTCTGACTTTATTTAGTCATCTGAAGAGTTCCAGCTAGATGTACAGCAATGGTGCCATCTACATATCTGGACACTTGCTAAGTGCAGCCCTCAGGCTGTGTACACACAGCCTCGTGCAGCTGCAGCCATGCTTGTCAGAGTCCAGAACATCCCTCTGGCTGCCCTGGCTGTCTCCAGACCCTGGCAGGGGTCTCTGAGACCCTGGCATGAAGTCAAAAACATCACTGGCTTCAGTTTTAGCCCATGGAAAACTGCCAACTCTGGATAAGGAATTACAAGTCACAAGGGTTTTACTAGTGTGATATTTGAACTAACACAGGGTGGAAAAGTAGAATTTTGGGATTTTTAGAATGCGGTTCAAGGGGATACAAGATGGAGGAATTTGGCCATGTCCTAACCTTCTTCTTCTTTATCTTGTCCTCCATGTCTTGGTGTCATGGTGGCACTTTTCTATTGGTTTAAGGTAGAGACTCACAGTCTAACATAGATGAAGGGAATTGGTAAAGAAATTGTAAACAAACACACATGGTTTGAGTATATAATGTAGGAGCCGCTCAGGGCTTGAGGACAGATAGCCATGGTCTCCTTGCTAGCCAGAGCTCGACCGGTCAGAGAAAGAATGTTTAGATAAGAAGAAATAAACCACACTGAAAGCACAATCGGGCACATTCCAGGCTCC